CTCAGTTTCAGACTGAAAATCCTCAGGGCCGGAAAGGCCCTGATTTAGGCTGAAATGACACAGGGCCTGTAGGCCCTTGTTTTCAGGCTTTCTTCGGGAGAGTGGCCGAGTGGTTAAAAGCGACAGACTGTAAATCTGTTGAAGGTTATATTTCTACATAGGTTCGAATCCTGCCTCTCCCACTTCGTGGCCTTCAGGCTGAAAACGACGCAGGGCCTGTAGGCCCTTGTTTTCAGGCTTCTAGGCTGATAAACAACACGGGGCCTGTAGGCCCTTGTTTTCAGGCTTTCAGGCTGAAAACAACACTGGCCTCAAAATGACCCATGCAGCCTGTTGCAGGTGCAACATGTAACATTTACCTGGGCTTGAATTGTGAATTTCGACCTTCATCAATGGCAACAAGCTGAAACTGTAGAAGTAGAGCGTACAATCTTAGATCATAAGAATTTAACCCTAGAATATTATGCATATCTGCTATATGCATACTCAAAGTGCAAGCCGGGTCTTGCATGACGCTCCCGCGAGGCCAGGTTTACACTCCTGGGCAACTGCGTTTCCCTCTTGAGCCCGCAGCAACGTGTGGGCCACATGGGCCAGACATTTGAACAAACCCGCTGCCGCCACCTCATGTTCAAATACAAGTACGTATCGGCATAGCCACGGGAGGCTCAGGCATGTAATTTCGTCGTTGCCACTGCAATTCTTTTTTTGTCCTTTCTGTTTTTGACCTCAGTCGTGTGATTTCATTGTTGCCACTGCACTGTGTTCTCTTTGTCCTCTTTTGCCACTGCAACGCATTTCTTTTCTTCCTCCTGTTCTATAAATCTTCCCCTCGATAGGAAGATGCACCTCCTGTTTTCTTGTGGCACAGGGTTCGTTTTTAACACTAATTGGTTTGCGTTTTTTCCATGGTAACCCCGGACCCAGACACCGGACACTTCCGGACTGTCTTCCGGACCAGTGTCTGGACCGGTCCGGACTGTTCGGTGATCCGGACATCACCGGACACCGGACAGTCCAGACCGGTCCCCGGGGTGCAAAAATGTCCGGACCCAAAGGGAAAAAAAAAAAAAAAAAAAAAGGGACGGGGGTGGGGGGGAGGTTGGGTGGGGGTGTTGGCAGACACTTACCAGCTTCGCACTCTGTAGTTCAGGCAGCAGAGCACGTGTCTTGCAGCAAATCAACCAGCACATTTAACTAGCAGACATGCAGAGTTGGAAACAGTGCAAAGCAGGCACAAGACTAAAGAAACAGAGAATAATAATAATAAAAAAAGTATGATTAACTTTGAACTTTGAACTTTGGATCTAGTAATTTAAGTTCATAACTTCATATATAAGTTCAAACTCTTCAGACTGGCAGCACTGTCAGTGTTCTCTCTCTCTCTCTCTCTCTCTCTCTCTCTCTCTCTCTCTCTCTCTCTCTCTCTCTCTCTCTCTCTCCCTAACGGGTAGGAGCGGCGGGCGCCACGTCGAAACGGCCGCTTTGAAATTGCTCGGGCCTGTGCGAAACCCGCCACCTCAAAAACCTGCAGTGTCTTGTGTATGGACCTCTAGGCCATGTCCGGTGGGGTGAAAGGACATTAAAAATCACCCCGTTATTTTTTGAGGGGCGGCTAGGACCCGACAAACGTCCTGGGCCGCCCCATTTTTTTTTATTTTTTTTTGCCCCAGGGGCCTCCATCCAGACATGGGGACTGGACACCGGAAACAGACACCGGACACCGGACTGTCTGGAACCCGGTCCGGACGTCCGGGCCGTTACCATGGTTTTTTCAGTTCTTGTCTTTTCTGCCAGATGCATCTTCCCACGTTTCTTCCCATGTTTTAAAGGTAGATGCATTATCGACGTCCAGATTTCGTGAGTAGTGGAGCCAGGCCCTAAAACCCACAGCATGGCAGTGGTAGCAAAAAACGACAAAAACAGAAACATAAACTGCAACGCAGTCGTACGGGCTCTCCGCACGAACAAAAGACAATAAATATAGCGGTGTATCTGGGCATGTTCTACCGGAGGTTTCATCATCCTTTTGTACATCTGGAGAGTAGTGGAGCTAAACTGAGGATGCCTCCGGAAGGGCGACAGCCGTGAGATACAGGGCCTCACTCCACTACTCACCAAATGCGTAAAATGAGGACGTATCTTCGGCTAGAAGTGCCCAGACACACCGCCATATTTATAGTCTTTTGTGCATGCCATGAATACTTTCGCATTACCTATTTTTTCCCTCTAATCCTATAATACTTAAGGAAATAGAGGGTCTGGCATGAGCGTCCCACACGAGCACCCGTTCACAATGTTGGGAAAGTACAAAATACCCACAGCCCGTGTGGGAAGCGGCCAAGCAGGCCGACGTGGGCAGCGCAGGCCGATCGGTGTGCCTCTGGAAAGGCGCAGACCAAGCAGTGCGCGGCGGTCGGCCCGGTGCGAAATGGGAGGGGTGTGGGAAAGTGTATATTTCCATTTTCTTGCAAAACGGGAGGGCTGTGGGAAAGTGTATATTTCCATATTCTTGCAAAACAGGAGGGCTGTGGGAAAGTGTATATTTCCATATTCTTGCAAAACGGGAGGGCTGTTGGAAAGTGTATATGTCCATGTTCCAGCGGAAGAGTCGTTCGATTTTGCTCATCCTGTCGATGGAAGCAGCGTGAGGCCAGCCGCGAGGTTAGACTTACCTGTTCTCTCT